TTTCCCACCTTCTGAATGGTAAGAAATAAATATCTGTTGTTTTTAAGCCATCTAGTATGGTATTCTGTTATAGAAGCCGGAATGGACTAAGACAGCCCAGTTTTTGGAGCTGGGTATTTTGATGGCAAATGTGAGAACCAACCAAGTGAATGAAGTCTAAAGATCTCTCGTAGTGAAGCTGAATGGTGCCTGAAGATGCTCTAAGCATCCATGAGGGGGCAGCAGAGCCTAACCTCGTTCTTATGTTAAGGTTTAAGTGGGGTGGCTTGTGAGAGACATCTTCCAGAACAAAATGAATCTTGAGTTCCATGGCAGGAATAGTAATAAAGCAGCCTACAAATTTAAAAATGACAGCGGTGAGAGGGACTTTAGAAACAATCTAGTCCTTATTCAGCAGAAGGCAAGACTGAGCCAAATAGTCAAATATGATTTTTCCTAAAGTTAACCCAAGGATGGGATGAGAAACCTGAAATGGAACCCAAGACTCCATCTCTTCAGCTCTACAGAAAGACACATAAGCCTATTTCCAGAAGGAGAGCTTAGTTCTCTTGCAAGAGGAAGTGAGTCCCTGTATCATATGAGTGAGTGAGTGTGCATATGTCCTGCCTCATGGCATCCCTGATGGACAGCAAGTGATGATGGGGAAGGTCAGGGAATGGCTTTCTTCCTGGCTGCAGACTTCTCTCTTGTCACCTTGAGGCTAAACTCATCAGACTTTACATCCTGGAGGTGAGGAGGAGAGAGCATGACAAGTAAGAAAAGTGATCTTGTATAGGGCATTGACTGGGGAAAGGTCTGGGAACCGTGAAAATTTTAATGAAGTTGCTTTTGTTGTTTTTAGTTATTGTATAATATGTACTGACTAACAACAACAACAAAACCCCAGAACCTGCGGATAAAAATAAGAACTTTAAAAATACTCATAATACTATGTACTCGAAGAAAATGCTATATATTAAGAACTCATGTTTTCCACAAAGGTGGAATGCACTAGAACTTACACGGGCATTTTGTCTAATTGGATGTTCAGTCCAGGTTTAAGCAAGGTAAGCTAGTTGATTGGGGGCGCTGTCCTTGGTGCTGAAACGGAGCAGGCAGGAGGAAGGACATTCCTGGAATAAGCAGAGGGGCCTTGCGATCATGATAAGGCTATCGGAGCTTCCACGGTGTTTCTATTTGAGAGTTTCCCAGCACTGTGGTCTCTCTCCTCTTCCTCTTTGGTGAGTACAGGTGTTGTTTTTCATCATGTTCCTGTGGAGAGTTCTCAGCTGGGAATTTTTCCACCAAGCTCAGCTGAACTGTCTCTGCACTACCAGACCTCAAGCTCCATATGAAACTGCCTTTACCTTAAATCGATGTCACCATCACCTGGGGCAGTGAATGAATCTGAATTTTCATCTGGAGAGATAGAACCAAGTGAGGGTTGTGCCCATGAGGAGCCTGGGATTTGGAAGCATGAGAGTCTTGGGACTAGGAAAGCGCTCAGCTTAGAACTGAGCTTATCAGCTGGTGCCCAGCACAAGCCAACTGCCTACCTACCCCCAAGTTAGGCAGGTTTAAAGGTTTCCTGACTAAGGTGTTCACCTTTGTCTCAAGGCTCTCTCTAGGGGGTACAGTACCTGAAGCCAATTATACTTCTTCTGAAGTGTGAATACTCTTGATGGTATTTTTCTGTCCTCAAATATCCATCTAATTGAAATGAAATGGAAGTAGTAATCAAGGAGTGGCCTCATCTTGCCAAATGACTAATCTTGGCCTCAATCTGAATGGGACAACCTGATATCATGTACCTCTTTAGATGATGTAATAACATTCATAATCCATGATGTATACTTAACAAAAGTATTTGAGCTGAGTCTAATCAAACCTCTAGGCCTAACTGCCAGTTTATAGGAAATACAGAGGATTGAGGAATAAGTTCAATGACACCATGACGAAATAATTAGACAAATCCAGAATGTGGGACAACCATCCTAGACTCTTAAAAAAAACCCAGTATATTGAAAAGCTAGGAGTCAGTTCTAGATTAAAAGACTGAAGAGGCACAGCAAAAGTCAGTGAGTGAAATCTGTTGTATTCACATCTGAAAAAACTAGGATAAGAGATGTTCCTTGGGTTAGCTGGAAAGATAGATATTGGGTGTTGTGGAATTATCAGCTTGCTGGGCATGATAATGGTATTTGAGGGTGTGTGTTGTATTGTTTAGGGATCAAGTGTCAGAATGTTTGCAACTGACTTCCAAATGGTTCAACAAAACTTGGCAAGGATATACATTACATAAATAGGCGACCAAGAGAATAGCAAAGCCACCAGAAAAAGGAACCTAGATCCCTGAATCACCTCATGGAGGAAAGCCGCCTGCCAACCAGGAGCACTGTTACATGAGCAAGGGAAAGATAACTTATAGTAGTTGAGCCATTGCACATTTAGGGCATACGTGTTATAGCAGATACCAAAACATCCTAACTACTACAGTTAAGGGTGTTATTTTGCCCCAGGAAGAGAGAATTATTCTGGTCATCCTAGAGAAATTCATACGTTTAGTACTGATATTTTTATATCAAATAATCTCTTTACATTTGAGGCTTAATACGTTCATAACATTCAAGATAATTTGGCCTATTGAAATTGTAGTTTCAATTTAAAAGACATAATTGAGTGATTGATTTAGACTTGTAATTTTATATTAAAATCTTGCTAAGGTTGTAAACAGTGTTAGAACACTTAAGAGAAATTAAGATTCATCATATATATATATATATATGTTTAATTTATTAGGTTTGTAGAATTAGGTTTTGGGGAGGCTTTTAAAAACATACATTAAATGTATTAGATTTATGGAGTTTCATGAGTACTTGGAAAGGTTTTGTTTATTAATCAAAAAATGGAAGTCTTTAAATAGAAAGTGTAATGCATTAATTTTATAAATGCAACTCAAAATGTTTAATGGAGTTTAATTAGCCAAGTATATAAAATAGATTGAACACTAATCAAAGGCCCTCATCAAAGTAATTGTTCTTCTGATTGTGGGCAAAATAGCTTTTTGATTCCTGGTATCTGTTATATATTGAATTGTTCCCCCTCCCCAACCAAAAGATGTATTGAAATCCTAGCACTCAGTACCTCAGAATGTGACCTTACTTGAAGCCAGGTTTTTACAGAAGTGATCAGGTTAAAAAGGGGTTGTTAAGATAAGCCCTAATCCAATACGACTGGTGTCCTTCTCAAAAGGGGAGGTTTGGGCACAGACATGCACACAGGGAGAAAGACACCTTAAGGTAAAGGCAGGGATCAGGGCAGAGGGAGATCCGGGGGTCTGACTAGGACCCGCTATCATCCTCTACCAACCTGGACCCAGTCCCCATGGCCATGGAGCCCAGAGCAGCTGCGTTGGAAGGAATCCTAGAGGCCCCAACCCTTGTCCTTTAAGGGGAGAAACTGAGGCCAGAGAGGAACTGAGTTGTCCCGTGGTGTATACACTGCTTCGTGGCAGGATTAGAGTCTGAGGCTCCCCAAACCCCTTCTTGTGTCCATTTGGCTATGACAGTGGTCCTTCCTCTGGTTCTGGGATGCCTGACAGCACTGTGATATCCTCAGGGCATAAAGGCGGGATGGAGTGATGCAAAAACAGCCAGAACAAGAGCCGGAGACATAAGGCGTTTGTCTCGTGTCACGTAAGGGAGACCCTGGGCATTTGGTGCAGGGGTGAGAGGTGAGGGAGAGTTGGAAGGGCACAGTGACAGGGAAGGACAGCCCCTACCATTGACTGAGCATCTGTCATGTGCTGGGGATCATTCCTGGGGGAGTCTGTCTGATCCTTCAGCCCCGACAAGTCGGCTTTCTTATTCTCACTTTCTGGAGAGGAAACTGAGGCTCAAAGAGGCTAACTCAGAGGACCCCCAAAGTTCTAGCTTTTTCCCCAAATCTCTCGGGGGAGGGGAGAAGAGTAGGTGAGGGGCGAGAGGCTGAGGGTCTCCCCACCTGTGCCCCCAGGACGCAGCCCTTCCTGAGCATGGGCAGATCCAGGGTACAGTAGGGCTGGGGGCGGGAGGTGTTCACCACTAGGGGGTGGGGAAAGAGTTGGCGGAGGCAGCAGGCAGAGTGTCATTGTCATCAGTCTCGACTTCAGAGTTCAGAGGGCAGCACTCCTGCCCTTCACCCATACAGGAATTGGCAAAATACGTGCCAGTCAGGGAACCCCAGAAATAAATGGGCCCTTTGATCCCTGAGACACTGGAGAGCTGGGGGCCATCTGAGGCAATCTGGAAGCATCACAATGACTAGGGGGTTCGGGCCCTGTTCCAGGCCAAAAGGCAGAGGGAAGAGGACCCCCTCCCTGGCCAAGCAGCACACAAGCACATGTGCCATCAGATATGTCACCCCGGTGGAGGGACAGGTGCTGGGCCTGAAGCAGCCTGGGAGAACTGAGGGAAGGAAGGAGCTGGGAGGTAGAGGAGAAGGGTGCCCTGCTTTTGATTCCAGTCCCAGGGAAAGAGACCCCTTTCCCCTCTTCTGAAGCCCCCTTTACTGCCTCTATGGGTACCCCACCAGGTCATGGGCTGCAGGTCATGGATGCCCCTGGGCCAGTGCCCAGCCTTGAGATGGCTGAGAGTTCTTGGGTCTGTGGCTTCACAGGTAAGCACAGCCCTTGTGGCCATCTGGAATGACCTTGGCCCCTCTCAAGGTCAGCAGGGCCAAGTGTTCACCCTTTTGCCTTCTGGGAGCTCCTACTCTTCACTCCCTGGGCCCAAGTTCTACTCGCAGGATGTGACCCTAAGCTCGTCTGCCACAGAGACCTCAGGCAGAGGTGGGCCCAGCCCTGCCTGGGCCTGGAGTGGACAAGGGGCTCCGTGCCCCGCAGGTGGGTACAGGAGGGGACCCACATGCATCCAACCCTGGGAAGAGTGATCTCCCAAGAAGGCCCTTCCCAGAGACGACGGCCTGCAGCCAGGCCCCTGCAGGCGAAGGGAGGAGGCCACTCATGCCTCGTTCTGTACATTATTTATTGGTAGGAAACTCCAGAGTGGGGAGTTGCCGTGGAGCCAACAAGATGCCAAGGTGTCTGGGCAGCCTTGGGGCTCCTGAATGGAGGGTGAGGGAGCAGAGGGGGCTCACAGCAGCGGGGAGCAGACTGGGTGAGGCAAGTCTACCAGCTCTGAGCAGGACCTCCTGGGGACCTGGACCTGCCATCTCTTTCCTCTTGACCGACCTGGGGCCTATGTCGGGCTCTCCGTCTGCTGCTGCCTTCTTGTCCAGATCTGGGTGAGGGGTGGGAGTTCCTGTCCCCCTCACTGAACAGTTGTCACCACACTGGGCCTCTGAATGTGGATCTGGGGGGTGGGAGAGAGGCGGTGAGGCCGAGGAGGTGAGGCCAAGGAGGCCATAGGTGATGGCTGCATCCAGAGGGAGTGACCTGCCTCTGGGCCAAGTGGGCCCTACCCTCTCCAGGCAGCCCCGGGATGTGGGGCTGCAGGGGGCAGGGGTGGGGGAAAGGAGAGCAGCCCCTAGCTGGGGGCGGGCTCCCAAGTCACCTCTGTGGTGGGGTCGACGTTCTGCAGGGAGGGCTGGAAGTGTCTGTAGGTGTTTTCAAGGCCAAACTTGTCCCCCTTCAGATTCTGACCTGTAGGGAGAGGTACCGGGTGAGCCTAGGGTAGGCTGAAGAGGCAGGGGGAGGGGCTTTTTTCCAGTAAGAGAAATGGGTTTGAAGCCACAGCTGCCCTAAACTAGTCTCCCCCTGCCTGGCTGCCCTCCCAGCAGGGCAGACTGTCCGTGACGCAGCCTGAGGCGCTGGCCCAGTGTGATGCAGGGACAGAAGGGAACCAAAGCAGCAGCCCTCCGACATGCCCCGGGGCCAGAAGTGAGCACGGGCCACAGGCGCAGGGGGCCCAGAGTTAGGGCGGAGCAGGGGGAGGGGGCCACGCAGGGGTCATCTGTGCACGCTTCCTCATAGCAACGGTAACCACAGCAGAGGGGAGGCAGCTGTGCCTGGAATCTTCTTGTTTGAGTTGGCATGTGTCCAGCACTCACTGTCCCAGTCTTGTAGATAAACTCCCTCCCTGGCTTCCAGGCCACAGGTTCCAGGTTCTCCTGGCACCTTCCTGAACATTCCATCGCTGACTCCTTCAAGATCCTCCCGGGGGCCCTGCAGTCGGTCCTTCTCGCCCACCTTCTCCTCCAACGTGGGCTGAGCTGAGCTGGCAACTCCCAGCCCTGCCCACAAGCCGCAGGCCTCTCCCCAGGCTTCTGTGATCTGTGGTGCCCCAACCCTGCATGCAACCAGCGCCCCCAACTCAGAGCATCCCACCTGTTGCTTGTCCCCACTGCACCCGTCTCATCATCCCCACCCCGAGCCTGCCAACAACACACCCCGCCCAGCTCCCTGGCATCTGAACTGGATCATCTGCTGTCCACGCCTCCCACACTCCACTGCCCCCACTCAGCCTCGCTGTCCCTTGTCTGCATTAGAGTGGAGACACTTCCTTGGTCTCCGCAGTTTCATGCTGTCCCCCCAAATCCTCCTGACTGAGCTGCTCCAAATGCACATCTGGCCCCTTCCCTTAAAGTCTCTCCAGCAGGTTCCCCCATCATGGCCCACAAAGTCCTCCCTGACCTGGCTCGGCCATCCTCACGTCCCACTGACCTGCCCTCGGTTCCCCCACGGGCCATGCTCTTTCCCGCCTCTACATCCTTTCTTAAGCAGGGCCCGCTGCCCAGAAAGCCCTTTCCTTTCCCCCTTCCCCTCACAAGGTCTCCCTGTTCACGGGGCTCTACGTTCTCTGTTCTCAGGAGCAGGAAGCACACGGCTTACTCCCAGCACTGCCCTGGCCCTCGGCTCAGCCTTATCTGATGCCTGCTCCACCCTGGGCTGGCGCAGGGGGCCTCTGTGCCCCACTGAGCCCTGGTCATGGACTTATCATCCCACTAACTCTGTGCATCTGGTGCCTTCACTGGGGGTGGTCTCCGGGGACAGAATCAGGCTCAGCCATCTCTACAGCCCCTCCGTTGTCCTGTGAAAGGCTCTGGGAGCTGGAGAAGGCTGAACCCACAGAAAGGTCCATGGAGGGACAGCATGTGAACCGAATCTTGGAAACAGAGTGGGATGGGATGCACAGAGATGCAGGTGAAGGGAATCTTTCAGACAGTGGTGCAGTCTGCGTGAAGGTGTGGACCACAGACTAGAGTGCAGGGAACTTCACAGGGAGTCGAGCAAAGGCTGAAGGATCAGCAGGAGGGGCTTCAGGTGAAGCCTCAGGGTCAGAAGGCTGCAGAGGAGTTTGGCTGGTGCAGCAGAAGTGGGGCGGGGCTGGCAGGATGAGTGTCACCCACTACCACCCTTGCCCCCATGAGATCTACCTTCCCAGATGCTCGCGCTCTGGAAATTGCCAGGGACATCTTCTCTTGGCCACTCACGAGATATATTGTACTCTTTCCTGCCAACAGAAATGCCGTGAGCAACTGGTGGCAGAGAGGTGGGGGAGGGGGCTCAGAGCTCTCTGACCCTCGGACTCCAGAAGAAGCTGTCATGGCCAAGCCCTGAGTCAGGGAGGGGTCTGCTGCCAGCAGCAGTGGCAGAAAAAGAAAAGCATGCCTGGGGCTGTCACCATGGCCTGCCCCCCTCACACCCCTCAGTGGGCCTCAGTGTCCTTATCTGTGAGATGGGGGCATTGGACTAGCGTCAGGGCAGCTTGCTTCAACTGCCAGTCAGGTGCTGGGCAGGGCGTTACTCAGCCTTCTCAGGTAGATCCTACCCATTTTACAGCTGGGGAAAGTGACACCGGTCATTCCAGTGTCCTAGTGTGACAGTGTTGCTCTGTGGCAGCCAAGGTGTTAACAAGTACTAGGTAATTTCATTACATAATTTAATTTCACTACATAAGTTTCGTTTCCATTTCTCTGCCAAATGGATATGTCCTATCAGATCAGCAGGCTGCCCTTTGCTGTCCCCAGAGCTGGGAGGGGCTGGCAGGGGCTGGGAAGGATGGGGAGGGGCAGGGCTCCACCCTTGGTGCGGACTCAGCTGACCTCTGACTGCTGAGCTGGTTGGAGCAGAGCCTCAGGATACTCTGACTGTGGTCCCCTCTCCCCGGGCCCAGCCCCAGAAGCTCACCTGTGCAGTTTTTTCTGGGATCGGCTGAGGAAGATAATCAGGACCACCAGCAAGACCACCAGTAGCACTGCCACGGCCCCCATGATCCCGTACACCAGGCTCTTGCTGGTGCTGCGTTCACAGGTTTCTCCCCAGTACCAGTGTGTGTCTGAGTTGTGGCATCTGAGGACATACACAAGCTCAGGCCAGCCCACCAGCATCCCTCATCCACCCAGTCTCCCAAAAGAAAAAAAAAAATCAATGTCAAAGCACAGGAAATAGGCTCTCCCTCTGAGGGCAGGCACTGGGCGCCCTCCCCAACTCCCCAAGGCTAAGGGGCATTGACGGGCTGTGGGGCAGGGACCCTGGATCTGTGAAACAGGAATTCAGAATCCAAGAGTGTCTGGTGCCTCATCCCAGATACGTGGTGGTCACTCATGTAATTGCTAAGTAGCTGGCACCTTGACAGATTATTACCATGTTTTATATTTTGTACTTTAATTTATGGTCTCCCAAATGTAGGGCCCCAGCTATAGCTAGCGGTGATATTGGCATCGTGGCTGGGATGACGTAAGAGAAATGAATGAGAGATGGAGATAGCGATTCATAGACATAGATTTGGAAACTGATAACTGGAAGTTTCTCAGGACAGGGTTTTCTTGGTCCTATGATGCCCATGTCTATAATCTGCACCTCCCCCTCCCTCTGGTGGGAGTGGGGGATGGGACACCCCGTAGAGGAAAGAGGCCTATAGAGGAGGCAGGGAGGAGCCTTGCAAGCTCTGCCCACGTCCACCCTGCCTGCCTTCAGTGAGGAGGGTGCAGCCTCGCCACCAGGGAGGGTGGGCACGGGGCTTCGAGGGGACAGACACTCACAGGCAGCGGGGGCCACTTTGCTGCAGCTGGCAACTGCCCTGGTTACAGTTCATTTGTGACTTCGTCCCCTTGGTGCACTTGGTCACACAGGCCAGCTTTCCATCCAGATCATCCACATAGTAGAATTGGGCAAAGTCCTTTGCAGCCTTCTGAGTGCATTGCTCTGGGGGTAGGGGGCAGGCAGCAAGCGTCAGCCCAGTAGATGTGCCCCTAGCCCCCATATTAACTGCCCATGCTATGCAGAGCTGCTTACCTTGCAGGTCAAAGCCAAGCTTCACGGTATCATTCACAAAGATAGATTTCTCATCATAGCACAGACGTGAGACGCCTGCCCAGGGTAGTGGGAAAGAACAAAACAGATATACTGCCCTTTGCCCCCTGAAAGCAACCAGCCTCCCCTTCCTCCATGCAGGACCAAAGCCAGTAGAGTCTTGGCCCATCCCTAGATGCAGCAGTGAGCAGGCTCAAATGGGGACGTTAAGGCTAGTGACAACCTTAAGCCCAGCAGGAGGGGCTGCTGGGAGCACCACAGAATGTGGAGAAGGTACCCAGACTTCTGAAGTCCTATAGGGAGGCCTCTGAAGTTCCAGAAGAGAGGAGAGATTTGGGGTGTGGGGTTGATATAGAGACCTCCCTAAAGGACCCCTCCCATCCTTTCCCACCAATTTCAAGGGGTTTTAGGAGGACCTACCTTTGCATTCATCAGAATTACTGGGTAGCCTTTTGATCTCATGCATAAACTTGGCCTTTATGATCTCAGTGAGGTTTTTAAACAGCTCCTGAAACTCTGAAGTGAAGTTTGCCTCCATGACGACTTCGTGTTCCACTACGATGCTGCCCTGGCTAGAACAGGAGTCATCAGTCATCCAGTGTTGCCCACCCTCCCAGCAAGTGGGGCCCAAGAAGCAAGAGAAGTGATGAAAAACAATTAGCCATATGACCCAGAGGCAGGACAGAAGAGAGACTCTTCACTCCTTTCCCTAGAGGGAGGCCACAGAGTAAAATCCCGAAGTACCAGTGATTACAGTAAATGCCAAAGGGCAAAATACATTCCTAAAACCAGAGACTCTTGGGCAAAGATGTAGAGACATTGAACCTTTGTGCATTGTTGGTGGGGTTGGAAAATGGGGCAGCAACTGTGGAAAACAGTGTGATGATTCCTCAAAAATGAAAAGCAGAGTGACCATATGGTCCAGCAATTCCAATTCTGGGTATCTACCCAAAAGAATTGAAGCCAGGGACAAAAAGATGTTTGTAAACCCATAGTCATATCATTGTTATGCATAATAACTATAAGGTGGAAGCAATCTAAGTGCCCATCAGTGGATGAATGGATAATCAAAATATGGTCTATACATAAACAGTGGAATATTATTCAGTCTTAAAAAGGAAGGAAATTCAGAGACATACAATATGGATGAACCTTGTAGACATTATGCTAAGTGAAATAAGCCAGTCACAAAAGGACAAATACTGTATGAGTATTTATGAGTACTAATATGAGGTCCCTGGAGTAATCAAACTTGTAGGGACAGAAGGTAGAATGGCGGTGGGCCAGAGGTGGGATGAAGGGAAATTGGGAGTTACCATTTAATGAGTTCAGAGTTTCGGTTTGGGAAGATGGAAAAGTTCTGGAGATGGACAGTGGTGGTGATTGCACAACAGTGTGAACGTACTTAATGCCACTAAACTGCACACTTAAAATGGGGAATTTAATGGTTAATGGCAAATTTTAAGTTATGGGTATTTTAAACCACAATAAAATATTTTTAAAAATTAAAAAGTAAAAAACTTCAAATAGAAGCTATTGGATTGTATTTTTGGAAGCCAAATAACTGAGCTTTTAGAAATGAAAAAACATGAGGTCACTTTAGAAATGTTGGATTCCAACCCAGAAGCTTCTTGTTAGATGGTCAATAATGCTGCTGAGGGAAGAGATCTTGAGACAAGGTCCATTACCACTCACAGCCATTGTGACAGAGAAGTCAGGAGCGGGACCCTGGAGGATTTGAACCAACAGAATCCTGAGCCAAAATGGAGATGGAGACAACGGCTTTGATGCTGGGTCAGGGTGGAGGACGCTGAGCTAAGGAACCCCACAGGCCCTTGACATGTTGGGACCCAACACCCTCCAGGCTCCCTTCCCCCTCTGTCTGCTTCTTTCTTCTCTACTCTCAGAGCTCAGCTTTTCCTGCTTATCCTTTAAATGCTGGTGCTTTTCTGGACATCTTTGCTCTTGCGCAGTGACCACTGCCCTGACCATCTGGTCTACTCCCTGGGCTTCCAGTGACATCCATCCAGGGATGCCAATGCCAGCGTCTCCACTGCAGACTCTTCCTATCACGTGTCCGACCACTGGCTGCTCCATCACTCAACCACTCCACATGGCTGGGCCCTGGGCACTTGACAAGGCCCACCCCAAACTCATCATCTTCTTCCCCTATCCTGCTTCTCCTTACGTTCCTCATCTCAGCAAAGGGCACCCAGCACTCTCAGCAGCCCAGAAATCTGGTGTCATTCCTCCTTTTCTCCAAACATCCAAGAAATCCCCATGATCTTCTGGTTCGGCCTCCTAAAACCTTTCACACTGAACATTTCTTTTCTTATCAAGTCTCAGGTCCAGGCCACTATCATCTCCCTCCCCTGTCCACCCATTCTCAGCCCTGCACCAGACTGAGTTGTCTGCAGTGCAAATCAGATACTATCCCATGTTGGCTGAAACTGCTGATGCTTCACATCTAAGTAACTTGGCGTGGGTCATCTTTGCAACCTCCTCTCCTACCATGACTCCTTGGCCCTCAAGCAGCCAAGTGTTCTTTATGCTCCTGGAATCTGCCCTCTTCTCTCTCACTGCTAGGCTCATCTATCATTGATTTCCTCTGCTGTAACACACTCTCGCTCCTTTCCTTCTACCTGGCTCATCCCTCCTCATCCTTTAAGCCTCAGCTTAGCTGTCACTTCCTCCGGGAAGATTTCTTTCCACCTCACCAAGCTTGCATTTGGAAACTCTCCCATTGTACCTTGTGTGTCCCTTATCATAACTCTAGCCAGACTGCACAGCTATTCTGCTCTCTGGGTTCTGCCACTCTAAGCTCCATGAGGACCGGTACCACTGTGTTCCCAACATCTAACCCAGGGTAGGCTTTCAATACAAGTTTGTTAAATGGATGAATGATGGATGAGCAAATGCATGGTCTCAGAGCTCTCAGGTATTGCCTCGGGTCTGGGGGTCTTCCTGGCCCAGCCACGTACTAATACTCTAGCCATTCATGATAGCAGGAGGCAGGAGAGCAGGCAAGTGAGAAGGAGCTTCCACAATCTATAAATCTCCACACACACACACACACACACACCCTGGCTCCCATACTCACAGCAGTCTCCTAATGATCACGCCTACATATTGCGGAAAGTCGTTGCCCATGTAAGCTTTATCCATCTGAAAGAAACAAGACAGCTGAGCTCATAAAGACCTGGAGTGTGCAGCAGCCCCTGTTCTGTGTATTGGGGGGAAGCCTGCCAGTGCCTCTTTCCTCCAAGGAGCCAATCTCTTAGCCCACAGGAGAGAAGGAAGGGAAGGCATAGGGCTGCTCCCACTTCCAGGCTGTGGGTGGGGCAGGGCTTTAAAAAGGAAGCTCTCAGAGGACCTCCTCTCAGGACTTAGGAAGACGGAAGGGACCCAAGAGCTGATAAATGCTGAATAGGAAGTCAAGATGAGCTCCAGCAGCCCCTCTCACATCAGACATCCACATTGGGGAATCTGGGCTTTCTCTGCTCTTACCTGACTCTTGAATAGTTGAGTGAAATTCTTGTATGCAGAGGAGACTGTGTCATTTAGGTCTTTTGTGAAATTCTGGTTAGTCACTTTCACTCTCAGTTCTACAGAGGCATTGATTTTTTCCGGGATTTCTGCGGGAACAGGCAACATTACACATGAGACAGCAACCTCCCAGTAACATCTTCCAGGATTGGTTAATCCTTCACATGCTGACCTAATGGAAGTAAAGAAAATGTGAAGGAGGGAAGATAGAAATTCAAAACGCAGGAAGGAGTAGCTGAAACTTCTGCCCCATTGTCTCTGAATACCATGAACAGCAAGTGGCCAGGATCAGGATGCAGAGAGACCTAAGTGGAGGGCTCAAGATGATCATTCTGTTGAGAGAGGCAGATTAGCTAGTAAAATGGAACTTGAAGAGGAGGCAGAAGGTCCATGTTTTACCTGCATTTTGGCCTGGGTGAAAGTTACACTTTGTCCTCTACCTGCACAATTAGACACTGGTAGCCAATGATCCTTCCAGTGATGCCTTCCTATTTGAAGTGGTTAAGGGGTGTGGGGATGCTCTACAGGTCTCAGATAAGCTCTTTACCTAGGACGAAGTACTCCAAAATGGATTTACACAGGAAACCAAAGTGGCCTTGGGGACAGACACAATCTGTTCCATTCCAAGTGGTCCCACTGTGGCACTGCCCTGTGGAGGAGTAAAACATTCATATGTGTTACCATGGAAGCCCAAGACACAAAAAAATCAACTCCTCTTCCAAATCCCATCCTTCAGAAAATGCACTGAAAGATAGGGATGGTACCAGATGACCATACAACATCAAGAATACTCTGGCACCACCTCATCCCCAGGAGATAGGGGGAAATGGAGAGGTACAATAAAAAGGAAGGAAGAAACAGGTGACAGAGGACATGCAAAGAAAACAAGGACCTTACAAATCAAAACAGAACAACATCATTGGCATGAGGAGCTGTATGGACAAAAACAAGGAATTGGAAGGTGGAACAAGACTACATGAAGGGCCAAACTGATAGTTGGTAACGGAAGATGGACAGGAGGGGCCCATAAACAGAGATGCAAGGAGACTTACACGCTTTCGTAGTTGGAGAGTGGGTTGTCATTACGGCTTTCTGCGTGCTAGTGAATGAAGGACCAAGATTTGAATTGGTACTGATTCGAGGGACTGGAGTACCAGTGGACCTATGTGAAATGGAGGACACAGAAGGAGAAAGGCCAGAAAAGGTTGACTCCTCTTTGGGACTAAGAGACATATGATCCGAGACCACAGTGAGGGTAAAAGGATCACTGGGAATTGATGGGTAAATAGGACTTGCACTGGCTCTGCTATAAGAAGAGGGAGAAGACAATGTTGAAGACACTGTGTAGGAACCAGATCCTGAAGAAAAAGACGTGGTACTGCGTCCATCAAGAAGAGAAGTGGTTAAGGTCTCTGTAGCACTTAATGTGAAGCCAGAGGTTACAGTCCCAGTGGTGATGGTGCTATTCAAGGTACCGGCAGGTTGTGATGAAGCAGGGGTGCTGGCAGAGAAAATGGGTGTTTCTGTGAAATCTGCGGTTGTCAGGGCTGAGACAGTAGGGGTGGCAGACAGTAGGCTGGAGCTGGAAGAGGAAGCAGCACTTGTATCAGCCCCTGGAGTGGAAGTTCCAAAGGAAGTGGCTGATTCTTTCGACCCAGAAATGGTTGTGCGGACAGAGGGCAATTCAGCGGAAGTTGGAGGGCTACGTCCACTGGTCGAGGTGGTTGTAGAAAGTCCCTGAGAGCTGGAAGGGAGAGAAGACGCTGTGGTGTAAGAGGAGAGGGTGTGTGCTGATGGCGCTGAGAGAGTTGTGGACACAGTGGTTCCGACGTTATAAGATGTGGTCGCTTGTTCATGACCAGTGGAGGAGGTAAGGGATTCACCTGGACTTGAGGTGGACATGGGACTTCCACCACCAGTAGTCAAAGGCGAGTCTGTGAGTTGAGTAGTATCAGAGACGGTGTTTTGCTTCGTGGATTTCTGAGTGACACCAGTGTCCGTCAGCCCTGATGCAGCTGGACTGGTGGATGTCTCTTCAGGGCTTGATGGGGTGGAAAATGGTGCCGTGGACACCTCTGAGGTGGCTGTGTAGGACGTCGATCCTGGAGGAGAAGACGGGGTGCTGTGTCCATCAGCACCAGAAGTGGTTAAGGTTTCTTCAGGTCCTGATGTGGAAGCATAGATTTCAGTCCCTGTGGTGACGGTGCTATTCAAGGTACCAGCAGGTTGTGATGAAGCAGGGGTGCTGGCAGAGAAAATGGGTGTTTCTGTGAAATCTGTGGCTGTCTGT